CATAATGATATCAGGTAACACAGGTGATACAGTCATAATGATATCAGGTAACACAGGTGATACAGTCATAATGTGTGTGAATGCTGTAAACTGTGAGCATTTGTGGCTGAATTGAGCTGAAAATGCAGAAAAAGCTGAATATTGTATTCATTGAATGGTCTCTGTATCTGCTTTAAGCTCCAGAGACCAAGTCAGTGTGTTGCTGAACTTAGCGGAGAAATGCAGAAAAGTGAAATGATTTGAATCAAATTGTTACAGCTCACATGCATTGCAATGACTTTGTTGAAAACTTGAAAGTGAAATGTTAAACTGGAAGAGGAGGAAAAAGAGTTAATAGTTGAATAGTTTCTGCAGCTTTCTGTAGGCTGAAGGAGTTACATATCAGATGTATGTAGTAGTATGAGTTCAAGTAGCATTACATCTATAGGGCTTTTATTTTGAAGGGGTGTGTGGTCTTGGGGAGTGCGAGGTGTAGAAAAACAAAATGAGATGTCTGACGTCAATAAATGGGAGGTTCACCCATAAAAACAATGGTTAGGTGGGCAAGATAAAACCCAGTGAATGTGTAACAGACACGCATCGAGAGTGAAGCTAGTGAAACGTCACATCTGTCCCTGCAGTGATGAGTAAAGAGTTCAATATATAAAGACAACCAACTATAATATGAATTAAGAGCACATCATAATTAGAAGAGAACCAAAACATATTGGAGAATGGAAACAATATGCCGTTTCCATGGAAACAGCATATGGTGAGATGTCAGATTTGGCGTAGAGCTGTTGAGGAATGGACCGGTGATATACAAGTGAAGATTGGGGGACGATCGGACCGTGTCCATTGGAGTTACAGCGGCATCGTGTTTTATGGCGAGGGATGCGTTGCCATGGTAACACCACATGATGTAACATCAGATTTGACGTAGAGCTGTTCAGGGCCACAGTGTTAACCATCATGTGATGTTTGGTGGCGTTCTGAGCATGTCAGTTGGAGTTATGACATCATCACACAGGTGTTTGTGTTTGAGCTAACGACGTTATGAAACACCTGTGCTTGAGCCCAAAGATCAAAGGTTTCCATGGTGATGTGCAGTAATCAGTGAGAGGAGAGCCTTTTCATTGATCTGAATGAGAGATAAACCTCTTACATGTGAACGTGTTGTTGAAGAACCGTAGCAGATATCGGTGAAATGTCAACGCGTGAAGCATCTCAAGGACCCTGAGAATCTGAAGTGTACTTTTTGTGTACTTTCGGGTTAATAATGTGGCCTTTTTGGCAGATTAACTAAAGGTGTGCTGCTGCTGCTGTGAGGAAATATCAGCCTGAATTTACAATAATAATAAGCGGAAGTTGAAGAATAAAGAAACAACATAAGAACTATAGTGTAAACAGCATTCACACTAATTATATCAGGTGATACAGTCATAATTATATTCCTCACTGTTTTCTCTCCTTCAGGTCCTGAGTGACAGCTCACACTCTCTTCCTCTGCACGCTGTGTATCTGTGTGGCCTGGAGCTGAGAGGTGCATCATGGGATATGCAGTCTGCGGCTCTTCAGGTCTCTCTGCAGCCGCGCTCTCTGCCTCTCAGCTTCCTGTCTACCTGTGTCCACTCGTCCTCCATGATGAGGGCTCAGAAGATGCTAATATCATAGCTAAGATTCCCCTTTATGCTAAGCTAAGTCCTGTGTTGTGTAGCTTGAGGAGGGTGAGGCTGGTGAGTCTGCTCTGATGCAGAAACACAACTGATGGACCACTCTGGATTTATTAAGTCATTCTACAGGAAAACCTTTGTAAATGTATTCATCACTTCTGTGCAAGCCTCTTCATGCATTACGTTTCGTAAGGATTCTGTAATGTTCTTCATTCAAATGTTTTACACATTGTCATAATGTCGCTTTAAATCATTGTGTTTGATCTCCCATTACTGCGTCAGAGGCAGAGGACACATTTACTGATTCAAGATTCAACTTGACAAACTCAAAAAAGCCTTGAATCATCACTTGGACTTTAACAACAATGACTCGTTACTTTTCATGCACTGAAAACACTGAAGCATTGACTTTGATTTAATGTTTTATGTCAACAGATTTCACATCCCTGTATTAGGTTAGTTTGAAGCAATGATATTAAGTTGAACCTATTTACACTTAAGATTATTGCTTTCAACTAAACTAAAACATTGATGTGAAATCTGTTGAGAAAATACATTTAATTAAAGTCAATGCTTCAGTGTTTTCAGTGAGGACTTTAACCTTCTGACGTGAACATTCTTTCTCCCAAGCCTTAAGATTAAAGTTATTTAAAGCGTTAACAACAAAATAACTCACTTCCTGATTCAACTAACGCTAAATATCTATTTCTTAGTCGACACAATTCCCTAGATCCACTTCATTCAGCTTCCAGGTGAGTTGCAGAAGAGATCCATGAAGAGCTCTCGTTACTGATCACCACTGGAGAAATAATGTACACAATTATAATTGTGTACATTATTTTGCAGAAAACTAAAAGCATAATGTAAAACGTACAGTTCAAAAGTGTTCGATGGCACATTATGACTTGTTTTGGAATCAAAATGTGGTTTAAAGTTGAGTAAAATAAGTGCTTTAAAAACTTGGTAAGACTTGGTAAAACCACATCCAATATCATACTGTCTATAATCAGCTGGATTTATTCTGGTGATGCTCTTTTAAAAGCTGGTAAAATATGTATGTTTATAAGTATTTTGATGCACAGAATGCATTATGTGATGTTTTATCATTATCTACAGAAGGAGTGTGGACTTTGTTGGTGGTGCTAAACTAATGCCTCTCTCCTCCTGTAGGTAACATGGACAGACACCATTATGACACCTTTGAGAAGTTTGGCAACAACACGTTCCTGATTCACCTCGACAACGGCAGGGCGTGAGTGTGTGTGTGTGTGTGTGTGTGTGTGTGTGTGTGTGTGTGTGTGTGTGTGTGTGTGTTAATGTACTTACTAACCAACACACTCTCACTCCCTAAGCGTCCAGGAGCGACGCTTGGTCAGGGTCCCGAGGCGTGCAGTTGGGACGCTCCGAGGCTCCTTCAGCTTCATAAATGGACGCAAATAGCTTTCAACTGATTGCAATGTATTCCCATCTGCGGCGGGATTTGACGCTCATGGAAGCACGGCATTCGTTTGTGTCGGAGGCTGTTAAAGGCAATGTGAGCGTCCATTCCCATTGGATAACGGAGAATTGTACACCCGGAAGTAAGTATTCCCCTTACTGTCGATTGATTTGTGTTAGAAATTAAAATCAATGTTGATGTGGCGTATTTGAATGAAATACACTGTATTTAATTTAAATCTGTTTTATTCTGAAAACCGAAGATTCACAAGTGACTTCCGGTTTTCCGCTGGTGAATTTCGTCATTTCCGGTTAGCATTAGCATGTGGCGAAATGCTAAGTTTTCAAACCGTGAATTGAAGGTGAAATAACGTGATGTTGTACACTAAACACGCTGAGTTTAACACTCATTTATTGACGCTGGAATGAGGTTTATTAGGGAATGTTTAGATGACCACAGACATCAGAGTGATGTAATTCAGCAGCAGAAACCGACAGGATTTGCATTGGACACGCCCCCGTCGACGCCGGCCAATAGGAGAAGACTACAGTTGTTACCCGGGAGACACAAGAAGGATCTCTCTCTCTCCTTGCCCCCAGCTGACCCAGCGCGGACGGGACCAAACAGCTGGCAGGGGGGAACCACCAACGCGTGCATTTCATTTGTATAGCACCGCATCTTTTGTGTAATTAAATGCTGTTAACTTTTATAAGCTTGCCTTGACTCTTTTCAGTCTCTCCTGCTCTCGGGGTTCAAGAACCACTAACATTTGACAGTGATATCTCCACTACTCATCAACTCAAAAACACCAGATTATCTTGTTAATTACACAACATTGATAGGTTTAGTGTGTGTACAATGCTTATGTCACGTTTACCCCTTCAATTCTGAGAAACAAGTCGTTTTCTATGAGTTTTGGATGGCCGAAGACATTACATTACCCACAATCCTCTGTAGCAACCATAGACTGTATATTGCAACAGGCAACAGCTTCGGTTCATGTTCATTTACAAACTCTTCAACTACAACCTCACAAAATACTTTAATGTATATTAAAATGTAAATGTGAAGGAATGTGTGTATATTAACTGTGGGTTTTTCTCTGGAACTTTTTCCTTGTACGATGTGAGGGTCAAAGGATGCCGTTTTTCTCATACTGATATTCCGCTATGCACGCTGGGATTTGGTGTTTATGCGATGTGAAATCCGAAAACATTTAAAAAAAATGTAATAATACATTATTCCGAGTGTGCTTGCTTTTCTCTTTGAAAGTCATCACATAACGGCATTGTAATACACGTTTCGGCTGCCTTCAATATGACATATCTGCCGTAATTTTCTATTTATAGAGCCCTTCTCATCTTACATTTCTTTTCACACAATACGTCTCCTTGCAGTATCAACACTAATTCGGCTGACTTTTATATTTGATCCAGTTGGTAGATAGGCTGTATTTACGCCATAACGGTGCACAGCTGATAGAAAGGGACACCTACTGGTTAAAGCACGTTATTGCATTTTATAATTTTATTTATAAATAATACTGAAATCTGTATTTTTCTTTTTCTCTTTTTCCTTCAAATTCTTTATTATTTACATTGCTTTTAAAATCGTTCTGTGTGACACGAAAAAAATATATTAATTTCGTGACTATAACACGAAATGCTGTGAGACTGTGTTGAAATAGGCAGTGCTGATCAAACATTAACACACACACACACACACACACACACACACACACACACACACACACACACACACACACACACACACACACACACACACACACACACACACACACACACACACACACACACACACACACACACACACACACACACACACACACACTCAATGAATAAACGACTGAGACTCATGTTTCTTTTTCCCACTCACTTTATTAATTGTTTTTGGTTCCATTAGTAATAAAATCACAATAAAAGTACAACAGCGTGCTCTGAGGAATTACATCTGATCTGATCCTCTTCCTGGGTAGTCATCCACATTTCAGTTCTCATTCACTTCCTGTTTCCCTTCTTTAACACTCAGGTAGCTTTCAGGCTGTGCACATTTACAAACAGACAGTATATTAAAGAAGAAATGATATATATATATATATATATATATATATATATATATATATATATATATATATACTAGTGCACATAGTAAAATAACCCCTTTTGATTATTTCCCCCACATCATAAAGAAGTTAAAACTCAGAATAACTGGAGTCCTCAGGAATAATCTCAGATAATGTGCCGGCTCAGTTTCACAGCAACAAGACCTTCATTTCCACCGTCAGGAATCAGCTGAGAACACAGAGACACTGCTGAGTCATGGTTTATACTTTGCTGCTTTGTGTTCATCAAGGAACTCGTTAAACATCGTGTTAATCAAGGAACTCGTTAAACATCGTGTTAATCGAGGAACTCTTTAAACATCGTGTTAATCGAGGAACTCGTTAAACATCGTGTTCATCGAGGAACTCGTTAAACATCGTGTTCATCGAGGAACTCGTTAAACATCGTGTTCATCGAGGAACTCGTTAAACATCGTGTTCATCGAGGAACTCGTTAAACATCGTGTTCATCGAGGAACTCGTTAAACATCGTGTTCATCGAGGAACTCGTTAAACATCGTGTTCATCGAGGAACTCGTTAAACATCGTGTTAATCGAGGAACTCGTTAAACATCGTGTTAATCGAGGAACTCTTTAAACATCGTGTTAATCGAGGAACTCGTTAAACATCGTGTTCATCGAGGAACTCGTTAAACATCGTGTTCATCGAGGAACTCGTTAAACATCGTGTTCATCGAGGAACTCGTTAAACATCGTGTTCATCGAGGAACTCGTTAAACATCGTGTTCATCGAGGAACTCGTTAAACATCGTGTTCATCGAGGAACTCGTTAAACATCGTGTGTCATCGAGGAACTCGTTAAACATCGTGTTCATCGAGGAACTCGTTAAACATCGTGTTAATCGAGGAACTCGTTAAACATCGTGTTAATCGAGGAACTCGTTAAACATCGTGTTAATCGAGGAACTCGTTAAACATCGTGTTAATCGAGGAACTCTTTAAACATCGTGTTCATCGAGGAACTCGTTAAACATCGTGTTCATCGAGGAACTCGTTAAACATCGTGTTCATCAAGGAACTCGTTAAACATCGTGTTAATCAAGGAACTCTTTAAACATCGTGTTAATCAAGGAACTCGTTAAACATCGTGTTCATCAAGGAACTCGTTAAACATCGTGTTAATCAAGGAACTCGTTAAACATCGTGTTAATCAAGGAACTCGTTAAACATCGTGTTCATCAAGGAACTCGTTAAACATCGTGTTCATCAAGGAACTCGTTAACATCGTGTTCATCAAGGAACTCGTTAACATCGTGTTAATCAAGGAACTCTTTAAACATCGTGTTCATCAAGGAACTCGTTAAACATCGTGTTCATCAAGGAACTCTTTAAACATCGTGTTCATCAAGGAACTCGTTAAACATCGTGTAATCAAGGAACTCGTTAAAACATCGTGTTCATCAAGGAACTCGTTAAACATCGTGTTCATCAAGGAACTCGTTAAACATCGTGTTAATCAAGGAACTCGTTAAACATCGTGTTAATCAAGGAACTCGTTAAACATCGTGTTCATCAAGGAACTCGTTAAACATCGTGTTCATCAAGGAACTCGTTAAACATCGTGTTCATCAAGGAACTCGTTAAACATCGTGTTAATCAAGGAACTCGTTAAACATCGTGTTAATCAAGGAACTCGTTAAACATCGTGTTCATCAAGGAACTCTTTAAACATCGTGTTCATCAAGGAACTCGTTAAACATCGTGTTCATCAAGGAACTCGTTAAACATCGTGTTAATCAAGGAACTCTTTAAACATCGTGTTCATCAAGGAACTCTTTAAACATCGTGTTCATCAAGGAACTCGTTAAACATCGTGTTCATCAAGGAACTCGTTAAACATCGTGTTAATCAAGGAACTCGTTAAACATCGTGTTAATCAAGGAACTCGTTAAACATCGTGTTAATCAAGGAACTCTTTAAACATCGTGTTAATCAAGGAACTCGTTAAACATCGTGTTAATCAAGGAACTCGTTAAACATCGTGTTAATCAAGGAACTCGTAAACATCGTGTTAATCAAGGAACTCGTTAAACATCGTGTTAATCAAGGAACTCGTTAAACATCGTGTTCATCAAGGAACTCGTTAAACATCGTGTTCATCAAGGAACTCTTTAAACATCGTGTTAATCAAGGAACTCGTTAAACATCGTGTTAATCAAGGAACTCGTTAAACATCGTGTTAATCGAGGAACTCGTTAAACATCGTGTTAATCGAGGAACTCGTTAAACATCGTGTTAATCAAGGAACTCGTTAGGAAGAACAAATGAAGGAGCTGCCTACCATGCAAAGCTCTTCAGTTTCTCCATCCCATAGTGATGAGGGCCGCGTTCCCATCAGCGTATTTAGCAGATCTGCGCCTCCTGCGAGCTGCCCCCCCACAGCTCTGTACACAGACAGGAAGTTAGCTTCACAGACAGGAAGTTAGCTTCACAGACAGGAAGTTAGCTTCACAGACAGGAAGTTAGCTTTACAGACAGGAAGTTAGCTTAACAGACAGGAAGTGAGCTTTACAGACAGGAAGTTAGCTTTACAGACAGGAAGTTAGCTTAACAGACAGGAAGTTAGCTTAACTAAACACAGGTTTACTAATACTCTGTGTTAGTACTCTGTGTAGTAGTACTCTGTGTGTTAGTACTCTGTGTGTTAGTACTCTGTGTATTAGTACTCTGTGTATTAGTACTCTGTGTATTAGTACTCTGTGTATTAGTACTATGTGTATTAGTAATATGTGTGTTAGTACTCTGTGTGTTAGTACTCTGTGTGTTAGTACTCTGTGTACTCTGTGTACTCTGTGTATTAGTACTCTGTGTATTAGTACTCTGTGTGTTAGTACTCTGTGTACTCTGTGTACTCTGTGTACTCTGTGTACTCTGTGTATTAGTACTCTGTGTATTAGTAATATGTGTGTTAGTACTCTGTGTGTTAGTACTCTGTGTGTTAGTACTCTGTGTACTCTGTGTACTCTGTGTACTCTGTGTATTAGTACTCTGTGTATTAGTACTCTGTGTGTTAGTACTCTGTGTATTAGTACTCTGTGTGTTAGTACTCTGTGTATTAGTACTCTGTGTACTCTGTGTATTAGTACTCTGTGTATTAGTACTCTATGTACTCTGTGTATTAGTACTCTGTGTACTAGTACTCTGTGTACTCTGTGTGTTAGTACTCTGTGTGTTAGTACTCTGTGTATTAGTACTCTGTGTATTAGTACTCTGTGTATTAGTACTCTGTGTGTTAGTACTCTGTGTATTAGTACTCTGTGTACTAGTACTCTGTGTACTCTGTGTGTTAGTACTCTGTGTGTTAGTACTCTGTGTATTAGTACTTTGTGTGTTAGTACTCTGTGTGTTAGTACTCTGTGTGTTAGTACTCTGTGTGTTAGTACTCTGTGTATTAGTACTCTGTGTACTCTGTGTATTAGTACTCTATGTACTCTGTGTATTAGTACTCTGTGTATTAGTACTCTGTGTACTCTGTGTATTAGTACTCTATGTACTCTGTGTATTAGTACTCTGTGTATTAGTACTCTGTGTACTCTGTGTATTAGTACTCTGTGTATTAGTACTCTGTGTACTCTGTGTATTAGTACTCTGTGTGTACCGGAGTGCAGGCCTGGCCCTGTGTGGGGCACAGCTCCAGTTTGCAGTGCAGGTAGATTTCACTGCTTCCTCCAGAGAACTCGAACATGTTGAAGGAGAAAACGCTGGACGTTCCCTGTCCGTTTCCCTGCATCTGCACCGTATCATCAGCAGGGTTCGGACATCTGCCCGGAGACAGGAAATACACAAGATGAAAGTCTCAGAGTTTATTTTTTGTATTTGTAAGTCGCTTTGGATAAAAGCGTCTAACAAGTAACATGTAATAAAAAAATGTAAAATGTTGTTCTAACAGTCAGAGTTTATTTTGTTCTAACAGTCAGAGTTATTTTGTTCTAACAGTCAGAGTTTATGTTGTTCTAACAGTCAGAGTTTATTTGTTCTAACAGTCAGAGTTTATTTTGTTCTAACAGTCAGAGTTTATTTTGTTCTAACAGTCAGAGTTTATTTTGTTCTAACAGTCAGAGTTTATGTTGTTCTAACAGTCAGAGTTTATTTTGTTCTAACAGTCAGAGTTTATGTTGTTCTAACAGTCAGAGTTTATTTTGTTCTAACAGTCAGAGTTTATTTTGTTCTAACAGTCAGAGTTTATTTTGTTCTAACAGTCAGAGTTTATTTTGTTCTAACAGTCAGAGTTTGTTTCCTCACCCGTTGATGATGAGGTCATATCGCAGATTACTGTCAGGTGACGCCTGATTGGTTGCCCAGCAGGAGTCTGTCACCATGGCGACCATGTTGGCGTCCAGCCCCCCCGCCTCCAGCTGCAGCCAGACCTTCTGGTTCAGCAGGATCTCCGTGTTTGGGCCGACCGGCTGCAGGAGGCCGGCGTCGCTGAAGGAGCTCATCGTCAGAGTGTAGTTCCACTCTCCAGATACAAGCTGCTGCACCACAGAGCTGCACACACACACACACACACACACACACACACACACACACACACACACACACACACACACACACACACACACACACACACACACACACACACACACACACACACACACACACACACACACACACACACACACACACACACACACACACACACACACACACACACACACACACACACACACACACACACACACACACAATGATTTACTTTTAAATTAACTTCATTCATTTATCTGCTTCTTTACTATTTTCCCATTTATTAGGGAGCCTTGGCTTCTGGTTACTTTTAGGATACATTTGATCAAATATGTCTGCTAGACTTCACGAGTTCCAGTGCAATATCCTCGAATGGAAATAGAGAATCTTACAGCAGCCAGTAGTTGACCTCCAGTCCTCCAGGGTCACGTTGGCTTCCAGGCTGCAGGTCTTGGCGTAAGCCTCCAAAAAGTGGCAGTCGACCCCATCCACTGACGGGTATCTGCACAGAGTGTGTGTGCAGGCGCTGATGTACGGCTCTGGGTCGGTGTGCTCGTGACAGGCGGAGAAGGGAGGCTGCCTCATGAGATTACAGCTGTTCAGAGGGAAGAGTTTTCCGTGTTACATTGGTTGATCTTGCAGAAACAACGCTGCTTATATGACATGACAAGACGAGGGTGTTCATGGCTCAGCTCTTACTGGTCGGTGGAGCGGTTGCAGTTGATGGCGCTGTCGACTGAGTCCTGGTATTGAATCTCACAGCTAGAGGGAGACAAAGATCACATTACATCTGAACCCTAATCCACATTATGACAAATAGGTCATATCAGTCGGACTGAGCGGTACCCAGGGAGGCTGATAGAGGACTTCTCTGCAGTCGGGGTGGTGGTCCAGCTGGAGTTGGAGGGGCTGCCACACAAACCCTCTACAGCTTCAGGAAGTCCTGGTGGATGTGAGGGTAGAATTAAAGCTGTTATTCAGAAATAAATATGTAATATTCAGTTTGGAAGTACTGTTCTGTACCTGTCACATGTGCGCTGTTGCCATCAAAGAAGAGAGTCATGTTGGAGGACGGGAACTTAGCAGTGACTCCAGTCTGGTCCTTGGAGAGCTCCACGCCGTGCATCAGCTGAGCTGTGCTGCTGAGCACCAGGGCTTCACCACCAACCTACACACACACACACACACACACACACACACACACACACACACACACACACACACACATACACACACACACACACACACACACACACACACACACACACACACACACACACACACACACACACACACACACACACACACACACACACACACACACACACACACACACACAGAGGGTTTGTGATACACCACCACAAAGTAACTCCTAGCAGGAAATGATCAGCATTGCTTGAGCAAACACCCCCATAACTACAACGTGCTAACGTACCCGGACTCTTCCTCCTTGCTCCAGATACATGGTCACACCTGGCAGCGACAGGATCAGGTGGTCCAGAAGAGGAACATCTGTACGCCGGCCGCTCCCTGAAAGCG